GGGGCGGGAGCGGCGGCGTAACCGGGGCCCCTCCCCACGCCCTGGGCGGGTCCCCCGCCGCCCTAACGCCGCCACTGCCACCTCCCCGGTTCCGCGCTCCATGCTCTTCTGGTGCTCGCCCCTCAGGTGCTGCTGGGGAACCGGATTCCGAGCTGGCGGCTCCTGGAGAGGATGCGGAGCCGCAGGCAGGCCCATCCGCACGCGGCTCTCCGAGCCCCGCTGCTCCTGGGCCCCCAGCCGGCCCTCTGCCTCGCATGGACCTGCCACCCGCCGGGCATCCCCTGCGCCATCCTACCAGGGCCAGGCCACGGCCACGGCGCCAGCACCACCACCGCCCGCCGCCTGGAGGCCCCCAGGTGAGCGCCCAACCCCCACTCCAGAGCTCGCGGAATTGGGGGTCTCGGTTGGTCCCTTTGCTCTTTACAGGTGATGGTGGGTAGGGAAGTGGATTGTGGGTGCCGCATCCTGGCTTCTTCCTTGTCAACCTCCTCCACCCCAGACCATACCCATGCGGGGTCATGGGTGTGTGGGCTTCGTTGGGGGTGCACCTGGGTGTAGGACTCTGTCTCAGGTCGGTTGCTGCATGCGTAGATGTGTAAGAGAGGGAGGCTGTCTTATCCTCCATCTCCTAGGATTACTGAAAGATATTGGGCTCCCGGACTGCAGGGACAATCCTGTCCACTGCACATCCGGCTGGTGTATATGTGAGGAGATGTATGTGTGGACCAGAATGGCGAGTGGTGTGGGGGGGAAGTGGGCACAGGGTGGAAGGGGAGGAGGAGCTAACTAGAGGCCCCCCAGAGGGTCTGACGCAGCAGCCAGTACTGCTGAGCGGCAGCAGGCCGGGTGGGGTGGGGGTGGGGGATACTGCAGGGAACTGTTTGGAGCAGAAGGGGTGGCAGGTGAGAACGTGTGACCCAGGAGGGTGCGTGTTCTAGCCTGCTGGTGACCGGGTGGTTCAGGATGTGTGGGATATTCCATGGGACAAGAATAGGTGTGGGCTGTGTGTTCCCAGCCAACTACAGGTGAGGGGGTATGTGAAATCAGCATCTCTGCCCACCAACTGGATAAGGGGAGAGCTTGTGTGTCAGCAGTCCCCTAGGGTCACTTCAGCTTCCAGGTTCTAGAGTTGCCCTGGGCAGGCTGTTGGACAAGGGAGGTGGGGAGAAGTCACATTTGCACTCAGCTCTGACCAGTGTGTGGTGTCCCCCAGGTGCCCCCAGCCCTGCCGCAGGAAGGGAATGGGCTCAGTGCCCGCGTGGACGAGGGCGTGGAAGAATTCTTCTCAAAAAGGCTGATCCAGCAGGATCGCCTGTGAGTGAGGGGCAGTTGCAGGGGGTGGGAGAGGGTGGGCTGCTCCTTGGGCCTTCCTGCTTACTGCTGGCTGTTCCCACAGCTGGGCCCCCGAGGAAGACCCAGCCACCGAGGAGGGTACCACCCCTGTACCCCGTACACTGCGAAAGAAGCTGGGCACCCTCTTTGCCTTCAAGAAGCCTCGTTCAACGCGGGGGCCACGGCCTGATCTAGAGACCAGCCCTGGGACAGCTTCCCGCACTCGAAAAACCACACTTGGGGACCTTTTGCGGCCACCAGCCCGTCCTGGCCGTGGTGAGGAGCCTGGTGGGGCTGACGGGGGCACCAGCAGCCCTGACCCTGCCCGCAGGAGCCGCCCTCGCTACACCCGTGAAAGCAAGGCCTACTCAATGATACTGCTACCTGCTGAGGAGGAGGAGGCTACACTGGGTACTAGACCTGACAAGGTGAGGCCTGGTGACAGGTGAGGGCTCTGCTGGAACTGAGGGCAGTGGGCTCTCTCCTCACTCGGGCATCTGTCCCCAGAGACGGCCCCTGGAACGGGGAGACACAGAACTGGCCCCGTCCTTTGAACAGCGGGTACAAGTAATGCTGCAGAGGATCGGCGTGAGCAGAGGCAGCGGGAGTGCCGAAGGCAAGAGGAAGCAAGTGAGTTGGGAGGGATGCAAGTGTGAAGTGAGGGGGCAGGTGACATGTGGCTTGTGGCAGTCTGTGGGTGACATATGTGACCAGGAGGAGACTCATGACACAGGTCTGTCAGTTCCACCACCACCCCCTCAAAATAGTCATCAGATTTCTTGGCTTCTGCCCTGGCCCAAGCCACTGATACCTGCTCCTGGGAGCTGGAGTGGGCCTTTCTCTGCAGATCTAACAGAAATCTGACCTTGTCATCTACATTTGAAACAGCAATTTGTCCATGGGCTTTCCTCTCAAGACTCCTAACCCTATCTGCCTCAAGGCCTTGCGGGGTCAGCCCTAGTGGCCACTTTCATCTCACTGTTCTCCATCCCTGGTTGCATCTCAGAGCCTCTGCACATGTTCCTGTCTGGAGTGCCTCCCTTGCCCACTTCCAACCCCTCAACACCCACGGGTTACACCAGGTTCCTCTTCATCTGTCCCTGCACTTCGCTGTGGGTCTTCTTCCCTCTTCCTGCTAATGCCACTCTCTGATCATAGTCCCTAATAAGAACCACAGCCCTATGTACTATCTAGTTTATAATCTTCCACAAAAATAAACACATATGAAGTGAGCCTCAGCTTGAATTTAGAAACAAAGTATAGAAAGTGAATCAGAATTAAGAAATCACATTATTTATGTGTCTGTGCATGTATATGTGGATGTTTCTGTTAACTGTCCACCATCCCAGACTTGAGCTCTAAGGCTGAGACTGGGTTTGCCATGTTCTTGCCCAGCCCACAGGGGGCATTTGGTGGCAGTTATAAGAACAAGAATGAACAAAATGACAAGGCTAGGGTGAGGGCAGCACAGGACTGAGCTTGAGTTTCCTGTTTCCTACAGAGCAAAGATGGAGAGATCAAGAAGGCTGGCTCAGATGGTAAGTGGGTCCCGGGGCTAGGGCAGTACATTTTCAGAGAGGAGGTTGTCCTTAGAGATACTCCCCAAGGCACTTGCTCTCCTGAAAAGAGGCCAGGTTTTTCTTCCCCTCACCCTCAAGGTCTGGTGCCGGTCCCACCTTATAGGTGACATTATGGATAGTTCATCTGAGGCCCCTCCCATCTCGATCAAGTCCCGCACCCACTCCGTGTCTGCTGGTAAGTGAGGGCCACTGTGTGTTGGGGGACATGAAGGAATAGGTGGGAGGGGGTCAGACCATTGGTTAGGCTCACCTCTAATGCCTGGCCCAAGTCTTGGCTGATACTATTCTCCTTGCAGATCCCTCATGCAGACCTGGGTCAGGGGGTCAGGGGCCTGGGTCTGCCACGTGGAAGACACTGGGGCAGCAGCTGAATGCAGAGCTTAGGAGCCGTGGTTGGGGCCCACAGGATGGTCCAGGCCCCCCTTCTCCTTGTCCCAGCCCCCGAAAAGCCAGCCCCTCCCCAGACAGCCTGGGCCTCCCAGAGGATCCTTGCTTGGGCCCCAGGAATGAAGGTAAGCAGGCACCCTAGCCTCCTCCCCAATACTGGGCTGGGGACCGGAGGAGTCCCTGCTGGGAACTCAGCTCCTCTGGGGACTGTGAAGGTGGGAGGCAAGGGCTGGAGTGGGGGCAGCTGTTGGGACCATACCCTGATTCCCTGGCCTCCCCCAGATGGCCATTTGAGGCCGAGCCCTCTCTCGGCAAGGCGACGAGCAGTGTCTGTGCATGAGGACCAGCTTCAGGCCCCCGTTGGTGAGGGGAGACACCTACATGTTTGCTTGAGTGCAGGAGGACATGGGAGAGGGTGGGCTCCCGGGCTCCTTTCATGGCTCTGGTCCTTGGAGGGGTCCACTGGTGGTGTGAAGGGTTGAGAAATGACAGCCAAGAGGCCAGAAGCAAGGGTCTGACAAGGCCTTCCTAGCCCTGGCTACACCTCCAAAAGAGCAACCTCTGCCAGGGGTGGGAGGATGTAGGGAAAGGGGGAGGCTCTGAAGGCAATTGGGTGCATGTGTCCAGTGTGCACACGCACACACTAGAGGAGGTAGGGTTTGAGGACAGGCAGCAAGACCTTAGCAATCCAACCCATACCTTTCTGTGTCCCTCAGAAAGGCCCCTGAGGCTGCAGCGCTCCCCTGTCCTCAAGCGCAGGCCAAAGCTTGAGGCACCCCCGTCTCCAAGCCTAGGTAAGAGGGGGCTGAGCAGGTTGGGCTGGTGGCAGGACTGCTCAGTCCAGTTCTGATCTTCCTCTCTCCCCCTCTCCCTTTGCAGGATCTGGCCTTGGAGCCGAGCCTCCACCCCTACAGCCTACAGAGCCCTCCAGCCCTGAGCGGAGTCCACCCTCCCCAGCCACAGACCAAAGAGGCGGCGGCCCCAACCCCTGACCCTCTCCTTTTCTGCCGCATGAGATTATTTTATTAAAAAACTCAAAGGAAGCAGAGTATGGAGTACTATTTGTCCACCCACAGGATCTGTGTGCACATATCCTTCCACGTGGTCACATGACCCCTCACACCTGGGTTTGCTCAGATTCCGGCTGTGGCTCCATCAGAAAGTGCAAGGCCCAGGCCAGAAGCTGGGGAGGGAGCCTGGGAAGAGAATCATGGCTGTAGATCAATGAAGACGGGGACTGGTGACCAAGAGAGTGGGGGCAGCCCTAGGCACTCACCTGGCACCTTGGACCTGGGCACAGAGGGAAGTGCAGGGTGGCCCATACTCATATTGGAAGGCAGAACCATCACGATGCCTCTTTGGGGGCTCCTGAAGGAGATGTGGTATCTGGAGAGGGGCCAACAAGGACCCCTAGCCCCATCCAAGACTACCCCAGCCCCACTCCCAGCTGTACCCAAGGCCCATCCTATTTTACCGTCCAGTTGTAGGGGGGCTATGCTCACCCAGACAGGACTGGATTCCAGGACTCCCTCATTGGTTCTTATCTTTGAAGAATGCAGCCAGTTCTTGGGGGGCAACGTTGGCTTCTTGAACTCCAGGCTAGATTTCTGGGGCCTGGTCACATGACCCTGGTGTGGCTTGGGAATGTGACCAAGAGGTGACAGACTTGGGGTGCAGCTCAGGAATGGGGAGCTGGATACATGGCTGGGGTGTGGGGAACTGGGGGACAGAGGGCCAGGGGCTGAGCAGATGGCTGATAGGGGCTGGGAGCTGACCTGCACTGGGTCTGGAGCAGCCAAGGACAGGGCAGGCAGAAGGCTGACACTGGCACCACTTTCCTCTGACGACATGTAGCTAGGTAATATAGGGGTTCCTGGGGAGGAAGGGACTCACTGTGGGCGCAGCCCTCTCAGCTCAGACCAGCTGAGTAGCCTGTGAGCTTAGGTAGGCCTGCAGGGACTGTGTTCATCCCCGACCCAGCTGTGTACCCTTTTATAGCATCCTGCGTAGCACCAGCACCTGACTGATAACAGTGAGTATGGCCTCAGCACCACCTTACCTGAGGAACTGAGTGAGGAAGGAGAGATTAGGGTCAATGATAGTTCCTCAAGAGCCAGGGCTGGTGGGGACAACTCGGGGCCTAGGGTTCAGGAAAGGCCTATCAGCACTGTGGGCACCAGGCCTCCAGACACTCCCCTCTGGACCTCTCCAGTCCTCCTTACCCTGTGCCCTCCGACCTGGGCCCAGAGAGTTCAGGATCTGCTGGTCATTCTCAGAGATGTGCAGCCATAGACTGGGGACAGTATACACAGCTTCTTCCTGTGGAAGTGAACTGTCATCCTGGCCCTTGCCTGACTCCTTACCCTTACATTTCCCAAGGGAAGCCCCAGACTGACCAAGGCCCTGCTGCGTGAGGTGGCCCAGCAGGTGAGCAGGGGTGCTGTGCAATGGCCTGACAGCATCAGACAGCTCTCAGCCCGGCGAACCAGTGCCCCCTGATGCTCTTGTTCCTCCTGCACCTCATCCAGAAGTTGGGACAGTGAAAGGCCTGAGGGCAGGGGATGGGCTGAAGCTCAAAGACGAGGAAGGGCAGGGTGGGTGAGGAGGAGGGCTTATTAAGGAAGCAGGAAGTAATGGCTGGGAAGTCACTCTACCGGGAATTAGGGTCACTGGTCAACACCTACAAGTACCTGCATTGGGAGAGGTGAACTCTGAAAGGTGTTCCCTACAGAAACAGAGGGGACAGGCATGAGGAACAATCCTGAGGCCTGTAAACACATTCGCCATCCTCTGACCACGTCACACCTGGCCCTTTAGCCCAACCCCAGACTCACTCCAGGCAGTCACTGAGCTTTTTCTGTACATCCGGGTCCTGGTTACTAGGAAAAAGAGGGTGACAAGCAGTTAATGTTACTGGGGCCCAAGCCCTCCCACCAAAAAGACCTAGGCTAACACCAACCAGGCCTGGGTGAGAACAGCTGGAAAGTGGAGGCATCACTTACCAACCAGTCACCCAATCTCGGGGCTGCTCCGTGGGCAGCAGGCTGAAGCGGTTCAGCTGGAGGTAGAACTCCGAGGGCTGGGAGGCGGGGGTGGGGGTGAGTTCAGGGACTTGTCTCAGGGCTGTCACCAAAATTCAGGCCCAGTAACCCGCCCAAGCCATCCTCACCACTCACCAGGCCACCCTCGCCCTCAGAAACTTGGATTCGAACTCCGCAGTCCTGCAGCAGCAGCAGTCGGCCTTCAGCCCCTTGAAAACCAAACTCCTTCTCTTCCCTGCAAGTGAGCGCGACCCTTACTGCCAAACCCACGGGCACACAGCCCCTCCCGCCTAAGGCCCGCCCACCTTGGACTCAAGTCTCCTAGCTGGGCTCAGATATCCCAGGGCCACGCAGCGCCTTTCTCACCAGTCCGAGGCGTTCAGGGCCTCCCGCGTCACCTGACATCGAATACTGTGGGTCCCGTCGGACACAAGCAGCGCCGCCCCGACTTCAGACTTGTCAGGAGCGCGGGACGTGCCCGGGGCCTCGGCCTCCTGCAGTACCTGACGGCGGCAACAGACGTAAATCTCACCTCCTTGGGGCCCAGCCTTAGTCTCTGGGCCCTGAGAGGGATGGGAGACTCACCTGGAGCAGCTGCCCCGCCCGCGGACTTGAGAGTGTCTCTGACCCCAGGACCAGTTCTCGAATCCAAGGCCTCAAGACCAAGCTCCTCGTGCCTGCCATTCCCGCAGTTGCACTTAGCCGAGCACCCCTCGCCCGGGTTTCCCGCGGGAGCCGCGGCCCCGCCTTTGATCGGAAGAGGAAACGCACAACTGCTGGGCAGGACCTGAGATCGAGGTCCCGCCCATGGGCATGCCCGCGCGTGCGCATAAACGCGTCCTGCTCGGGAACCTGTAGTCGCCTTTTGGGTCCCCTGGATCCTAACCTGTTTATTATCTCTCTGAGCAGCGGCTCAGCTTTTGGGTATTCGTTAAGACTCCCGTGGCACTGGGCAGGAAGGAGCCAAGGGCTAGCTCGGAGGGAGAGGGTTCTGGGGCCTGAGGCTGCAGCCTAGGATGGTCCGAGCGAGTTGGCTCAAAGCTACTTTAACACAGTGTGACCCCGAAGGGTTCAGTAAATCTCATGACTCAGTTTCCTCATCTACAAAATTCGCAATTTTATAAGGCCTGTAGAAACAGCACACAAACAGCACTCAATAAATAGCACATCCATCATTCTCCACTCGGATTGGACGAGCCCCTCCGCTCAGGGAACGCGCGGACTGTAGCGTAATGACGTAAGAACACTCGAAGACGTATCCATCCCCATCACCGTTTCCTAGGAAACGTGGACTCCGCGTTTCACTCTCCGTAGCAGCCCCCTTGACGTCAAGGTCTGGAAGGGAGGGCGGGGCGAATGCTACCGTCAGGGGCGGGGCGGCGCGGGCCGGCCCGCCCGGCTGTGCACCTGCGCCTCGGCGGGCCGCCTGGGGCGCTGACCCCGGCCCGCCCGGCCTCGCCATGGCCAGGCCACAGAGGACCCCGGCGCGCAGTCCCGACAGCATCGTGGAGGTGAAGAGCAAAGTAAGGGCCTCTCCAGTCCCAGCTCCGGCTCCGGCCCTAGGAGCTTCCAATTCCCTCCTTCTCCCCTTCCTGGCTTCTTGGTCCCATCACCTTTTCCCCTCCTCCATACTCCACGCCCCATTCTCCAGCTTTTCTTTTCGCCGTCCCTCACCCATTCTCTTTCCTTTCACTGCTGGCCTCCCGAGTCCCTCGGTGGCTAGGGTTACCTGGAGGGCGGGGAGAAGACCTTGGACAGCGTCCCTTGTACTGGAGCTGAGGTCTGGGCTAAAGGCTGCAGCTGTTGCGGCAGCCCTCTTTCCCACCTCTGACGCCCTCGGACCTGTGGTGAGAAAGGACTCGGGTTCCGTTCTGACCCTTCCTCTCTCCCCACTCCCTGCCTCCAGTTTGATGCCGAGTTCCGACGCTTCGCCCTGCCCCGCGCTTCGGTGAGCGACTTCCAAGAGTTCTCGAGGTTACTGCGTGCGGTGCACCAGATCCCTGGCCTGGACGTGCTGCTTGGCTATACCGATGCTCACGGCGACCTACTGCCCCTCAGTAACGACGACAGCCTGCACCGGGCCCTGGCCAGTGGGCCCCCACCGCTGCGCCTGCTAGTGCAGAAGCGGGGTGAGGAGAATGGGGTACAGTGGGCAGCTTCTGTGGGGTAGGGTGGCAGGGCAGGTCTACAGGAGTTAGTCCATGCCCAGGATGCCCAGGCTTCACCCTCTGCAGTCCCTGCCCTTGGCCTGACCTCCAAGTGGTAGAAAATAGCTAGTGTCTCCTTTCCCACGCCTGGGCCTGATGGAAAAGGGCCCAAATGGGAGCTGGGTCTCTGATCTCAGCTCCCCCCCTCTCCTACAGCAGAAGCTGACTCCAGCAGCCTGGCCTTTGCCTCCAACTCTCTGCAGCGGCGCAAGAAAGGGCTCCTACTTCGGCCAGTGGCACCCCTGCGCACCCGGCCACCGCTGCTAATCAGTCTACCCCAAGATTTCCGCCAGGTTTCTTCAGTCATAGATGTGGACCTACTGCCTGAGACCCACCGACGGGTGCGACTACACAAGCATGGTTCTGATCGCCCCCTGGGTTTCTACATCCGAGATGGCATGAGTGTGCGTGTAGCTCCCCAGGGCCTGGAACGGGTCCCAGGCATCTTCATCTCCCGCCTGGTACGAGGGGGCCTGGCTGAGAGTACAGGGCTGCTGGCAGTCAGTGATGAGATCCTCGAAGTCAATGGCATTGAGGTGGCTGGGAAGACCTTGGACCAGGTGACAGACATGATGGTCGCCAATAGCCACAACCTCATTGTCACTGTCAAGCCAGCCAATCAGCGCAATAATGTGGTGCGTGGGGCATCTGGGCGTCTGACAGGGCCTCCCTCTGCTGGGCCTGCTGAGCCCTATAGTGATGATGACAGTAGTGATCTGGTCATTGAGGACCGCCAGCCTCCCTGTTCCAATGGGCTGTCTCAGAAGCCTCCATGCTGGGACCTGCACCCAGGCCGCCTACTTTCCAGTGCCCGCAGCTCTCTGCCCTCCCTGGATGATCAGGAGCAGGTCAGCTCTGGATGGGGGAGTAGCATGCGAGGAGATGGTAGTGGTTTCAGCCTCTGATACACAAGGAAGCAGCCCCTCGCCTCTCTAAGTCCCTGCTGGAACATGGCAGGACTTCCCCAGTGGGGGTTTTAGCTTGCTCACCGGACCTTCATTCTGGGGAACATTAAAGGTTTTCTACAAATGCAGTTATGGTCCTTCTGTGTCACATCCCCAGCCTCCTCTCTGATCCCACAATCTTGCCTTCTGCCCTGGACATGAGGCAGGATTGACAGGGCAGTAGAGAGACCTTCCTGTAGTCACACAGCAGGAGGGCCACCAGGCTTGGCATTGCTCCAGTAAGAAAAGTTCTTATGGAAACAAATCCCACTGTGTACAAAAGGTTTAATTTTGACAAAAGAGTTAAAAGGCTGGGATGGCCATTCCGCAGCTACCAGTGGCTAGGAGGAATGCTCTGGGGATACTGCCCCCCTACTGCTCCTGTCATAAGACTCTATAATGGGACCTAATCCTGTCCTTTGCAACCATGCAGCGATCTTCAGTGAGAACCCCTGTCACTACCCCTATAAAAGGGCTCAAGCATCCATCTTCACGAAGACCTTGGGGCGGGAAAAGATCTTGATGGCCTCCTCTACCTGCACCAGCTTCCGGTCCAGCTCAGCACGGTGGCCCTGGGCCCTCAGTGAGTCTGCCCCAGCGGGCAGCAGCACCAGCTCACGCAGCAGCTGGCTCTGACCTACAGGGGGCCCAGGAATGGTTAGTGTTGGGCAGGGGTGCATGGTCCCCAGTGGGTTCCCCATCCAGCTCACATACTCACTCTGGAGCAGATTGCTCAGTGTCTCCAGCCGCTGGTTCTCAGGCATACGAGTATGGCCAGGGGGCATGGCAGGGTCTGGCTGGCTATGTTTGCGAGCCTCAGCCTCCTGCCGCCACAGATCCCTGCGCTCCAACAAGCTGTGGATGCACAGGCTCAGGGTTGATGATTCCAGGGCAGATGTTGGTTCCCACTTGCCACAGGCACCCCTCACCCTGGGAGTTGGGAAGTGGAACCTACTAATGGGGCACATGGCCCTTCTGTGTGGCATTGTAGTGCTCCTGGGCTTGCCGTTGCTGCTCCAGCACCTGTGTCAGGACCTGCAGCGAGCGGGAATGCCGCCGGGGGGCTCTCTTGGCAGTGCGTGCATTGTGGCTAATGAAGTCCACACCCAGGCCTGGCCCCTGCAAGACATGATAAGCACGATGGCACACAGCACTGTGTTGTACCCCTGAATCCCCCAGAATCCCTGCCCTACCTCCCAACCCCCACATATTTTCTCACCTTGGCATTGGGACCTAGTGGGCTTAGCTGAGGACTGGGGACACGGGGTGGTGGGAGCCCAGGGCCGCAGCGGGAGTGTGCCCGCAGGAAGTGGGCAGGCTCTGTCCCAGAGGCAGGGCTGGGTTCCTGGAGGGCAGAACATAGAAGAGGGATCAGTCAGGCTGTGGTCAAGGTCTGAAGACTGAGCCTCTATGCCTATCGTTATGGGCCTCCTCCTTCTTGAAGAAGCACATCTCCTTATCCTATAAACATGTGTATCTCTCACATCCTGAAGAACACAACAAACCACCCCTCCTACCTCAGTCCTGGCTCCAGCTACCATTCTTTTTCTCTATTTCCTAGTCAAGCTTCCTGGCTCTGCGCCCAAGGTCATTAACAGCTGGCCTCCAAGCCCTCAAATCCTGGGTCACCTCCCTGGTCTCATCGTCCTTAGCCTGATCCTCAATAACTCTTGGTTCTCATTCCTGAGATCCAGACCTGACTCTCCATCTGGTTCCTGGACACACTCCCACCCCCTGGGAGCCCCACAAATGCTTCAGCTTCAACACATCCGCATATGACCTTATTGTCTTTCCTCTCAATCCTGTGCCTCCTCCTGAGATGCTTGGATAGAGAAATGGTGCCACTCTCTACCCAAGACAGAATCCCACTACCACACCCCAGCCTCTGCCCTTCGAACAAAAAGTTGAAAAGTGGGTTACGTGGCCCTTTATGATGTGGGTCCAGCTGACCTCTTAGCCTAACCTCATGCTCTTCTTCCCTCACAGTAAACTGTACACAGCACCCCCATTGCCCACATTCCCTCTGGTCTTAGGACTTCTATCTGTGAGGTTTCACTTCTATAGAATGTTCTCTTTCATTTTCCCCTTGCCTAATTCCTACTTGGCCTTCAGGATCACCGACCCATCACCGCTTCTGAGGCCTCCCAGACCTACCCTGCGCAAAACCAGCTCTCTCTTAGTCTCCTGTTACCTTAGTCCCCTGTGATTTTCCTCCCTTCCCATAACTCAGATCAGGGTATAATTGCCTCTTGGCCAACAAGATGGACATTACTTCTGGCTCCCTGAGGCAGGTACCTGCAGCTGGGCCTTGACCCGGGATTCCACTTTGTCATACTTGGGTGAGCGCCACAGAGCCTTCAGGGGCCTGGATTGGCCCTGTTCCCGGCTGCGCTCCTGCTCACGGAAGCGCCTCTGAATTTCCTTGATCCGCCTCAGGTTCTCCTTCTCATGGTCTTTAGGGTCCTTCTCTGGGGAAAAGATGTTGCCAGACTCTGCCCTACATACTGTCCATGAAATCCAACTCATACCAATTCACGCACAGGCCCACACCCTGCCTCCTACAGAAAGACCTCCCTGACTTCTCCATCTAAGACCCTATACAGATACATCACCTTACCACCTTGTTTCCTTCCTGACATGATGGCCTGTGCTTGTTTTCAACCTTGCTGTTTTCCTAGTATCTATTGGGCCTGGCATACACCAAGCACTCAACAAGTTTTACTGATGTGTGAATTCATACAGGTGACCTAAGGTTTCCTGGGGACTACCTCATTCAGTCCTCTCTTGCAAGGAGGTAGTGCATTTCCCCCTCCTGTTATAGTTGGGGAAACACATTCAGAGAGGCGAAGCCTGAGCCCAGGTCAGGGCAGGAGCAGCAGCAGCTTTCGATCTCTTTTTAACCTCAGACTTACCTCGCTGCCCCTTCTGCCCAGAACTTACTTTTGGGAGAGGCCCCTGGGCCTAGGGAGATAGCCCCAAGTTGCATCAACATGACCCCCACGCCGCGCCGACCACGCTCCAGAATCTCTACAGCTCCTGGACGGATGCGGGGGCCGCGGGGCGGGGTGACGTCCAGGTCCGGTTCCGAGGTCAGCAGGTCCAGCTTCAGCGCGTTTCCCTCAAGGCGACCTTGGGCTGAGGGACCAGACAAGTCGGAGTGCCGGGTTCAGTGGTGGCGAGATACCCAAGCTTCGCTTGAGCCTCGCTCAGACGCGGCACCCCTTTACTCACCCGAGGCCGGCCGTCGGTAGTAGTTAGGACAAAGCGTAGGGTCTGGAGGGATGGGCCCCGAGATGCGGGACGGGCCCTCGCACATGCCGCCGCCGTCGCCCTGCAACGTTGCATCGAGGCCTGCCGGGCTAAGCATCTCGGTCCCCAGACCTCCTCCCTGGACCCGGACCTTGACCCCGGCCTTGCCCTCCATTCCCGGTCCCGTCTGCAACTAGCCGCCTCTGCTCCTAGCCCACTTCCTTGCCCCGTTCGTGGCCCCTCCCCCTCAACACCCGGGCTGGGGGCTCACCAGAGCAGCTTTTAGGCACCCGCAGCTGCCACCCGGCGAGTTTGCTGTTGCCAGGCAACAATGGCTTCCGTCTTTGAGATCAGGGGCCGATACCCCTGACGCAAAGCCTTCTGGGGCTTGTAGTTCCCGCTGCGGGCGGGGGCATAGCAGTTGCCAGTCGCTCTCCCCATCCAGGCTCTCGCCTCCCGGCTAGCCTTCCGCGTCAGCGAAAGGTGAACCTGTCCGGCCCCTCGGGGCCCGTCCCACCCCTTCCCATCAGCAGCCGTCGAGGATGCGCTGACTCTGTGCAGTCATGGCCTCGGCAGGAGCCGAGAGACGACCAGGGGCCCAAAAGGGGACGGTGGAGGGGCCTGCACCGCACGCAGAGGCGTCCAGTGGCGGTGCTCAGAGCTCTGAGGTGACTTACCTACAGGCTATCTAGCCTTCAAACTCTTGGTCGTGGCGCTCTAGGAGGCCAAACTCTGTGCATCAATGCCCTAACTGCCAGGACAGGCTCCATAGGCGGGCCTGGGCCTGGTCTGGTGCCCTTGATTCATGTTTGGTGTCTAATGTTGGGTGTCTAATGACTGATCCCTGTATCCTTTGCCTGGCCATGGTGACCAGTTACCCTATGTGTCACCTCTAGTGTCCAGTGATGGGAAACCAGTGCTTGGTGTCAGCCCATGAAGCCTGTGGGACCCAGAGTGAAGACAAATGTCCAACAGGACCAGCCTCAGAGGCAGAGCTCCAGGAGGAACCACTTAAGATGGAGGAAGAGAGGCTCAAGCCAGAGGTGGAGGCACTAGAGGAGAGAAGCCCCAGGCCTATGGCCTCCATTGTGAAGTCCAGCCATGGTCCGAAGAGGAAGCCAGTCAAGTGAGGGGGCTTTCAGAGGGCTCAGGGGGAGTTGGGGGGCTCACACCCCAGTAGGATTCCTAAATTCTGCACTCCTGCAGTGTGCATCTTTATTCCCCGCCACCACCATCACTCCTCACCCCTTCTGTGCCTTGAGAGCCCTGGTGTAGGGAGCATCGAGTCTCAAGGTCTCGTAGGGGTCTGAGCTCACATGAGCTCTCAGCCCTGGTCCGGGCTGGGGCCTCACTGACCAGGAAAGGGACAAGAACCTGGGCCCAGGGTGGTGGGTAGGCAGGGCTATTTCCTAGGCTCAGGACACAGGAGCCAAGGCTGGAGGCTGCCTCCTCAAGCCTCCTGTCCCCCAGCCTCCCAGGGCCTAGCCACCAAGCCCATCCTAGGGCTGAAGCTGAGCTGCTACAGAGGCTGCCGCAGCAGAGGAAGAACCCGGAGGGTAGCCAGAGTGAGCCCTCACCATCTGCCAAACAGCACAAAAAAGCCAAGAAGCGCAAGAGCCTGGGGACTCCAGTGCTCCCAGCTGTGGCCAGCATAGTATCTGCACCCTCAGAGACCTTGGGGCTAGAGGGTGAGTGGCAGTCCCTGGGCCTTCCCTTTTCCCCCTGCCTGCTGGACCCCAGAACAGCTTGGCACTCCAGCGCCTGTTCTGCCCTTGGTCCTTGCAGGAAAGGGCCAGCGCCTACGGCCACTGTACCAGTACATCAACTATTGCAATCCTGAGCTGAACCAGGCAGGGGAGGGGGACAGGGAGGCTGAGGCCGAGGTGGAACCTGAGGGGGAGCTGACCCTGGTCCCAGAGGAGACAAGTGTGGAGCAACTGCCAGCCTTGTTGCCTGTGGCAGGTGAGCTTGGCTCAGGCCTCACTTTGCCCTGCCCCAATATATTCGTGCTCCCTACCCATGTTATGGTTCCCTTGGTAGAGGAGGCTGGCGAGGAATCGGGGGGTTTGCCCAGCTTGGGGATTAGCAGCCGCCTCAAGGCTGAGGTGGATAAGTCAACTCAGGTGGACATCAACAAGATGCTAAGTGTCTGTGCTGCCCCACTTGTACCCCCACTTTCTCCTCAGTATAAGTGACTGTCCTACCGCACTGGTGGCTCCCCTCCCCCCAAGCCTGAACCACAGCAGCAGCCTAAGGGCTTAAGCCCTCAGGTGGAACGGGGGTAATTCAGCCTCTGCCCCCACTTGGCACCTTGCACTTGCTGAAAATAAATGTTTTTCCTTTTCTCAGACTTTGACTCCCCAAATAAGATACCTGAAGAGGGAGAGGCTGGGAAGAAGGGTGGAGGATTCCCCAGTGCAGGGTTTGAAACTTGACCGGTCATTTGGATCACCTAGGAACTCGACAAAAATGTAGATTCCTGGATACTACCTCAGACTGAACTGAATCAATCTGTGGGGGTGGGGCCTCTTTCTGTGCATTTGAAGTCTCAGATGAACCTGAAGTTTGGACAGGATAATGGTGGGGATAGAGAGGGAGGTGATGAGGCACTTGGAGCAGAGAAAGGAAAGGGACTGTCAGGTCAGGGGAAGCAGGTGCTTGGCCTTGCTGTCTTCCAGGGAAGGAGTCTGCATTTGGTCTGACCTCAATGAGACCAACACTTGGGATCTTCCCTTCTGAGTTGGCAAAGTTCATTCCCCAAGAGTGGCAGCTTTGGGACGCTTTCCACTTATTGTTAGACCACAGCTGGATCAAACTTTGCCCTCAGAGTGGCCCCTGGTGACAGAGACATCAGTGCCTTTTTCCTGGCAGGCAGGGGGTGGTGGTGATGGTGAATGGTTTCCTTGGAGCCCTGAGGCCAAGCCACCAGCAGTCTTCTCACCCCTCAGGGGTCTCTGGGAAGAGGTGGCCAGTGCTGGCCATTTGGAAACCCTAATTTCATGCTGCCTCCTGGTCCTACTGCATGTCCCTCAGATACCTTAGAAACAGAGAATTTCAAATTAAATAATTTCTCCTCCCTCCAACCTGCTTTTCCTCCTGTATCTCATCTGCACAATCATTCAAGCCAAAATCCTGGTGTCCCCCCAGGCCCCATCCTGTTCTTTGCTTGTGGACGCCTACAAGCTAATCAAGCATCAAGGCCAGTGAACCTGCTACACACACATCCAAACCCCTGATGGTGTTGCTCCCCCTCTAGTACCCTGCTCCTCTTACCACAGCTGCCTTGTAACTTTTCAGTAGTTTCCTATCATTCCCTGACCAAACCTTTTTTTACCTTCAGTCTGTGTAGGGGCTTCCCCTGCTTAAAATGCCTTTATTCCTTCACCCCTCCACCTGGCTAGTGCACATGGACTCTTCCTGCTGAGCCAGGCAACACCCAGTGTTGCCCTGCGTTGTAGCAGCCACAAACTACTGTCCTTGTGGGTCTTAACTGTCTTCAGGATGAGACTGAACTCCCCAGGGGCTCGTGTCACTGCATCACATTCACCTAGCAGAGGTCCCCCATAAAAGGCATAAAATGGAGATCAAGGTGGGGAACCTGAGGAAGCTACAGAGGGACAGGTCAGGATCTGAAAAGCTGAGGCCATCCAAAGTCCAGAGCCATGTGTGGGACCCCTGGAATAATGGCCTGGCAGGGTCATTGAAGAGAGGAAATGGGCATTGGCTCAGGATGCTCCTGCCTTTAGGGGTCGCTTGGATGCTCACTGCTCCATGGCAAAGGCCACAGGGCAAGCTGTGCGTTCTGGACACATTTATTCTTTCTGCCTACGCTTCTCCCTAGAAGTGATTTGACCACCCCAGGAAACTGTCCACAGAGACCATGCAGACTGAATACTGTCCATAGGGATGGGCATGGATTCTCAAGGAGTTTTCAGAGGTAGAGGGTCCTTCAAGATAACTGAGCTTTATGGCTGAGGAAGCAAGGGCCTAGAGAGAAGTGGCCTTGCATGAGACCACACCCTGGGTGCCAGGGAGGCCCTGCCCTTTCCTGAGTCCTGCAGATCTGTGGACCTGGAGGCTCTCTGGCGAAGGCCTGACCCAAAATGACCGAGCACCTGCTTTCTGTGTCGTCTCCAGAGCTAGAGGTGCGGACCAGGCCAGCATTGATAAGGAAGCTCTGTTCCTATCTTCCAACAGGTGATGTAGGAAATAGTAACCACAGAAGAACCGGTCTACATTTCCTAAGGCTTTTTACCTGCCAGGCTGAGTGACAGTAGCCACACAAAGGAACAAGTCACCACTACTGCTCCTACCTCACTCTAAGGGGAAAAAGTCACAGCAGCATGATGCAAGGAGACACATGCCATGGAAGCGCTGAGGAGCAAGACTGTGGGACCACAGGTGGTGGGGGTGACTGTCACTATGTCTAGGGAAGCAGTGAAGAGGCAGCCCTCTAGCTGACTCCTGAAGGAGAGCTGGGTGGCCTTCCAGGCAGGGACGAAACCTTGCTAGTGTGGAAGATGGCAGCTCCATGCAGGAGGGCCACTTAGCATGGCTGAAGCAGCATGGCCATCAGGAGACCAGGTTGGGTGAATCTAGGAGTGATGTGAGAGGAGTGTAGGCAAGGAGGGATCTTGGCCTAACATTTTGGAGAAGGCGCTTGAGCAGCAGAGTGAAGGACAGAAGGAGAAAGGGAGAGACTGGGGACAGGGAGGTGAGGAGACTGCTGCTATAGTCTGACTATGAGGCCTAGATTTGAAAAAGCGTTGCAAAATAAGCCACAGGCATTTTGGAAGTTCTCTTCTGATTGCTGTAAGAGAGGAAAAGTTAACTGCATTTTCTCTGGCTTGGAAAAACTTTATTTACTTTTTGACCCAAGGAAGATCTTGAGAGTTGGGGATCAGGTCCTGGGAGGTAATGCTGCCTTCCTCCAGGAGGGGGCGCTGCAGGACAAGCCTGGAACCAGTTGTAGGCTCAGTCACCCTTGAGGTTCAAAACCCTGCTGGCTTCCTTTGTCACAAGCACCTGGACCCAAGAGGTATATGATGGTAACAATGTCTGAGGGATGGCCGTGGACCTGGACTCTGGGGAATGCGAACAGAGGACCAAGGGTCCTCATAAAAGTAGCTCTGCACTGAGCCCACTGCAGGCTGCCCCAGGACTGCCGGAATCTGTAAACAAGGGGTTTGCTGCAGAGCCCTATAAAACCTAAGTAGTGCCACCTTGGGTCAGCAACATGGCCCTTTCTTCAGTAGGAGCACGAGTCAGGCAGAATAGATGCATGTGCTTTCTGTCAGTTCCCAAATTTAGGAGGGATCTCAACATCTTTGTAACACAGAGGGACTGACCTGGAGCTGAGCTGATTGTCCCCAAGAGGAAGGGAACAGCCTCTCCTTCAACTCTACCAGTGCCCTGCCTGATGGGTTCTCTCTGAGTCTATCTCCTATTTCAGAACAGGCTGAGATTCCTGCTGCAGGGAGGAGGCAGTAACCTGGAAGAGGGACAATGGCTTGGGCACTCGGAATCTGAGCCACAAGTGCTGGCAAAATAGTTCAGGGTTAGGCTCCATAGTCAGATGACCCTGACCAGGCTCCTGACTCCATCACTTAAAATGTACAGGAGGCAAGTAACTTTGTTCCTCTCTGCCTCAGTTTTCTGATCTGAGTAATGAGAATATTAATATTAGTACCTCATAGAGTGGTTTGGATAGTAAATAATATGCATGAAGTGTCTACCCCAGGGGGCCCAGCATGAAAAAAGCACACTTCAACACTAGCCATTGTTATCTCTCAAAGACAAGGTATAAAACAAGGACAACACAGGGAAACAGGCCTTGTGACTTCTATAAGGGGTGCCAAGAGGAAGACGGAGCCTTCCCTGAGCCTTTCTCTTTCTGGCAAGGAGCCCAGGGCAGGGCAGGGAAGGAAGGTTAGAGAAGGGAAAAGAGTTTGATCCAGGCTTAATCTTGGCAGGCTGGCAGAGGAAACAAAGGGGTGCATGTGTCCTTTCCCCCACTCCACCCCACCTCTGACTGACATGGCTAAAGGGCTATCCCTGTGTAGAACACATGCATGGCTGATGACTGGCTGGCTGGGCCAGGCAGTGTTCGGCCACACCCACTCCAAGGGGCAGTGTGTGGAACCTTCCTCCTCAAGTTCATCTTGTGCAGCCTCCCTGGGCCACTCCTCCCCTCCCCTCTCCCAGGGCTCCCTTGGAGCCAACGTCATGGTTTTAAGAACAGAACCCCTCCTGACCTTCAGTCCAGGGAGGCCTCAAACTCTCCCACTATCTCCCTGAAACGGTAGCCCAACAGGCCCCCCTCAGGAAATCTTGAGTCCTTTTCTTTGGAGGGCTCCTGGCATTCAGCGACGAGGGGATAAGCTGGGAGATGAGGGCAGGCAGTGGCAGGAGCCTATGTGGCCCCCTAGACAGTGATGGATCTGACGGTCAAAGCTGCTGTGGAGCCATGAGGAAACAGGAAAATATCAACAATCACAGCAATTGGCCACAAGCTGCCGATGGGCAGCCAAATGGCGACTGGCGCTGTCCACAATGAAGACTGAAGAACAACTTGGCTGGACCCCTTCCCCAATTCCCCAACACTGTTCCCCTCCCCCAATTCCCCAATAAAATCTT